GTTGATGACATTCTACTCATTGGGAATGACGTAGGAATGTTGCAGCAAACGAAAGCATGGTTGTCCACACGTTTCTCAATGAAGGATTTGGGAGAAGCATCTTATGTATTAGGAATACGCATCTATAGAGATAGAGCAAGAAAGATGCTTGGCTTATCCCAAAGCCTGTACATAGACACCGTTATGAAACGGTTTAGCATGGAAGAATCCAAGAAGGGATTCTTGCCAATGTCCCATGGGGTTCGTCTCTCGAAATCTATGTGTCCGCAAACACCTAGTGAAATCGAGGAGATGAAAAGGACGCCCTATGCTTCTGCCATAGGAAGCATAATGTATGGCATGCTATGTACGAGACCCGATATTGCGTATGCTGTGAGTGTCACAAGCAGATATCAGTCTAACCCCGGCCCGGCTCACTGGAAAGCCGTGAAAGATATCCTCAAGTACTTGCGAAGAACTAAGGATATATTTTTGGTCTATGGGGGTGCCGAGTTGAAATTAGAGGGTTTTACTGACTCTAGTTTTCAATCGGATGTGGACGACTCAAAGTCGAATTTTGGATTTATATTCACGCTTAATGGTGGTGCCGTGTGTTGGAAGAGTTCCAAGCAAAGCACGACGGCCGATTCCACTACCGAAGCGGAATACATTGCAGCGTCCGAAGCTGCAAAAGAAGGGACTTGGATAAGGAAATTCATCCAAGAGTTGGGTGTCATTCCTGATGCTAGTGATCCAGTACCGTTGTACTGCGATAACACCGGAGCCGTGGCGCAAGCTAAGGAGCCACGATCTCATCAGAAGTCGAAGCATATTCTGAGGAAGTATCACGTGATCCGAGAGATCATTGATAGAGGTGAAGTCAAGGTTGAACGAGTCACCTCGGAAGAGAACGTTGCAGACCCCTTCACGAAGCCTTTACCGAGATCGGTCCATGAGAAACATCGAGAGTCGATGGGATTGCGATTTATGGGTAGTTGGCTTTAGGTCAAGTGGGAGATTGTTAGAGTAGGTGACCAACAAGCCAACATGTGGCTGTGGTCTTTCGTTTTTATTATTGTAATAAACGAACCTTTATTCGTATTAATGATAAAACACCTTGGCATTCTATATCTTTGTCCCTTTGTCACAAGCATAGATATAGTCCTTACAGTTATTACAAGTACTAGTAATTGATCGTTAGGATCGTGAGATATTTACTCAAGTATTATAACTGTTAAACGTGTTCCTAGTCGAAGGGTTACGCCACTAATGAGGATATCGGCCTTTCCCATTAAGACTAGCACTTAGTGTATGTGTACTGCATCTCATCAGTAAACGGTATTGTGATATCGGCATACATAAGTGGGTGCTCGTAAGTTGACGAGTTCACTGAACTCCCTCACCCTAGACATCACCGTGACTTCACTAGAGGACCAGCTGTATCGTGACCTGTCCCTGAGTTCCACCGAGGACCATCCCAAGGGCCAGTGTTCGTGCAGTCCGAAATCTAGTGGGAGGTCTGTGCATTGTAGTCGGGGATTCGATCGCTAGAATAGTCTTGGATGTCCTGTGTGTTCTGAAAGTTTGTAATCATTCTAAGTCTCTGGCCAGAGCTGACTAAGTGATGATTAGAGAATTCGATTCTCTAAGTCATGCACGTAAAGATTACAACACTTAGAACGATCGCACCGTCATCGAACATATAAAGAGGTCTCGATGAACCAATGCCTCTAGTTCGATCGGGACATATGAATCGAAGGGACCGTACTGTACGTTAACTATATCTGAAGGTTCTTGCAGGCACTTCATTTGTATCTATGGAATCATGACGCGTAGTTGCTAGACGCCTATCTTGATTCGTTGGGTGATTAAGGTGAAACGAGCTTCATCTTAATCGTAACTCTAAGGGACGAGTTTTGACCACAAAGAGTTGTGGGCCCACGGCTAGCTTACACCTGAACCATCGAGGGTCACACTGCTCGTGCACATGAGATCTTTGAATAAACGGTCAGAGATAAAATAGTTTATCTTTGCATGATTGGAAGTCAATATGATTGAGTCCAACATTCATAATTTGGAATTATGAATGAGAATAAGAAAAGGAAAAGAATAGGCGAACGTATTAGTGAACTTTCTAAATCGGGAAGTTTCCAAATTTAGAAAGTGCACTGAACTAGGGTTTCCACTTTTGGAAAGTTGGAAAATGAGAGTTGGCACTCGTAATGACGAGGAAATTATAATGATTCCGAAAATGTAATCGTTGCAATTTTTCGGTCATTGAATTAAGAGAGACGAGCAAGTAAAGGAACTAACGAGCTTAAGCTGTTGGGCCTGGTCCAACTTAAGCCCGTTAGGGTTTTATGCAAGGGACTATAAATACTTGATTTATAGGCCTTGCACAAGAACACAAGAAAAAACCCTAACCCTAGCCGCTCGTACCCTCTCTCTCTCGGCCACCGCGCCGCCGTCGCCGGAGCTTCACCGGAATCGGCCATTCATTGGCCGATTGTTTCGGTATTGTTTTTCCTTCTCTTTTTCTTCCGTTTTTCTAACTATTACGTGTCTAGTGCCACGTGTTTAGTAGATCAAAGTATACGAGGTGAAATCCGAGAGGAGGAAGACTGTAGATCGAATAATCGAGGAGCAACGCACGAGCCGAAGCTGCGCGCTGCCCTACGCGCCGCCCCGGAATACCGCGCGTGTACCTCACGCGCCGCCGTGGGCCGATCTGCTGCTGCTGCCGCTGCACCGCTGCTGCCCCGATTGTACGGATTGGTTTCCGTAGCAATCTCGACTTGCTAAACGCTCCTACCTCACGCTTCAAGAGGTAAATACACGAAACCCTAGTTTCGATTCGTTTATGTTTAAACTATGATTTCATGTTTGCTATCGTATGACTTTATGTGATTATATGTAATTGTTTTAATCTTTGCAAGCATGTTAATCGGTTTAAACGCGAGCATGTTAATTGATTTAAATTCGGTTAAATTATTTAGCATGTATGTTGTTTTTAATTTCGCTGGAAGCGCAAAGGTACGCAATTAATTGATTTAATTTGTCGGGCATGTACATGTGTGATTTAAAGTCGTTTAATTCGCATAAAATTTTTGTTTTCCGCTGCGTATGCGTGCCCGAAACCCAACAATTTGTGTGTTATTTGTGGTGATTAAACGGTAATAGCATTTTGGTCTTAGCATTCAAGTCCATGCATATATTTTTGAAAGTTTGGAAAATTAATGGAATGCTTGAGTGAATAAACGGGATACGGTGGGCCGATATCCAGATTTTGTTAAAGAGTGGTTTGATCCCACTAAAGAAACGGGCTCGTAACAGTTTATTGGCCATGTATGGAAATTAATTTTTCACGGATCCGGTAACCGAAAATGGGTATTTTATTTTTTTACGATTTTTAGTGAAAACGAAAATGTGTTTTTCACGATTTTTATGGTAAACGAGAAACAAATTTTTTTCATGATTTTATGGTAAACGAAAACGAGTTTTTAAACTATTGATTAATGTCTCAAGTATATCACGTATTCTCTTGACAGTATGAAACATTAACGAAATACTTGGCAGAATAAACATCGGATACGGAGGGCCGGTATCCAATACAAGTTCAAAAGGAGTGGTTTGTTCCACAATAGAAACGGGCTCGAAACGCTTTATAGTTTATTGCTTGAGTACATAAATTAATTTTCCAAGGATCCGATAAAGTGAAAAAAATATTTTTCTCATGCATTGCATTCACATGCATTTTGGTCATTGTGCATATTAAAGTGATTTGTGTGCAAATTATGTGCTTTTGTGACCCGTGTGTTGTCGTATATTACCTGGGGTTTAGATAGTCACGTTGGGATTCTGATAAGGATCCTGTTGCATTTCATTTATATGCGTAAAGTGTTAAATTGATACTAAGGGGACTTTATGTCCGCGAGTAATATGAGGATTTTATATCCGTATAATATGAAAGAGGACTGTGTGTCCAACATACCAAGATTGAGGTAAACAATATTATATGTTTATATGTACGGGTATATGTTCGACTATGTTTTATTATAATATTCATGCTTCGTGGTTCTTAATTTTGAAGAATAGAAGTACTGTATTTGTATGTGATGTTATGTGCTTTCACTTATGTGATCGAATGTCTTGGTCTAAACGAATAAATTGAATATAGAGGACATAGTTGAAGCTTTAGGATTATCCCTACACGAAAGAACATAGAGACGAGGACTTTAGGGCTCCTATAGGACGTGAGTGACACGTTGAGAGAGGTGTGAGTATCGTCAGGCCAATGTTCTTACTGAGCCAGTGGTTGGGCTCACGCTTTATGCGAATTTCCCCTTTTCAGGTTCTCGAAGTAATCAGAGTGCGCAGCGGAGCGGAGTTCAAGGAATCACGAACCTTGAGGCCTTGCACGTCTTACCCGGATTTCGTAAAAGATCCATGTTTTCACTTTCGTCTATAAAAAGGTCTTATGTAAAAATGGAGATTTTTATTTTACTCTGATTTAGGAATCCAGTCTATTAAACGGGGGTATTTAAATCAAGTTTATTTTCCTTCCGCTGTCTTACAAGTTTTCTTTTCAAACCCCGATAATGATTTGGTAGCACTCTTTATGGAAATCGTAACTTTGAATTGTGGGTTGTATTTTAAGTAAAGAGAAATACTTTAAAATTTTAAATTGGGTTTCTCAAAGTTCAAATTGATCCGGAATTTTTAAAGTCCACTTAAACATTTCTTCTTTAACTAAAATTCATGGAGGGTGTTACATCCATTGGATTGCAATTTTCAACTATATAGAGTTATAGAAGGAGTGGGATTTGTTTTCATGTAATCCTCTCTATGCGTGACTCTAATTCCTTGTGATATAGATAATAGAGATTGGGTTGATGAGAAAAAAAAAAGTGCAACACGCCTATACACGTTCTAGAGAAGAAAATATTTTTCTCTTCTTCTTTTCTCTCTAAGTTTCTCGATTATAAATTTAGATTTATTAAAGTACAAGTCCACCCTTGTAGATGTTGAATGAAATCGCCGAAGATATGTACGTGTATCAACATGTTTCGCTAGACGAGGTTCCGATCATAACATGGAAACCTATAAGCCAAGAACAAGTAACATTCTTGAATACGTGCCTACAATCCGAAAACCCCGAGTCGTTGTATAGACAAGCAATTAATTACCAACGAACTTTATCGAAATAATTATTTTAAATTAATCAAGATTTAATTAATTTTCTAATTTCTTTTAAAAAATATTTTCAGCTCGACTACTTCAACAAAACGAATCTGAAATCAACGTGCATGCACTTACAGAAAGCGGTGAAAAACGGCCACACGGGCTCTCTTTACGTAACCTGCATCGTTTTGCTCTTCAGTGGGAACGAAGAACTCAAGCAACAGGGCATCAAGTTATTGGGGAACATGAAAAAGACGAACGGCTTGAAGAGAAGGCTTCGAATTTGCCGCAATAATTTGCATAGCATTCTGAAGATGATTTAGGTGAAGAATCCGGTTTTGCTGGAGCCGCCGGTTTGCTGTACGGCCCGAGATCCGCATCACAGGAAAAGGCGATGGTCTGAAGTGGAGGAAGATGTCACGTGCGAGGCTTGTGTTGCTGATCAAGAGATTAATTTACTTAGTAGTAGATTAATTTTGATTAATCATTTGATTTATTAGCATTATTTGTCAGGTAGCTAGTGTTCATTTTTCCAATTGATGAATTCAAAACTTCAACTTTGTTATTTTCTGAATTATTACCCTGCATTATTTCTCTATATATATTCCATGTAATTGAACCCCCTAACATAATGGGGTTTATCTTACGTAATATTTCTTTCTTTCTCCTATTCTATTCTTCATATATGGTATCAGAGATTTATGGTATCAGAGATTGAAGGGTGTGACTGTTACACTTAATTTCACCACTAATCCCAGAATTGTTACACTTAATTAATTTCACCACCAATCCCAGATCATTGGAAAAATAAGGCACGAAAATGTTGATAGATTAAGGGCGTACCACTTTTCGCAAGATGAAAAGCTCATGGTGTATGATTATCAAGATCGGGGCAGCGTATCTAGATTCTTACACGGTACGTAAAAATTCTTTAACATAGTTAAAATGAAAGAAAGTTATTATTAGATATTAACTAATCAATTTGCTTCAACTTTGCAGACAAGACAGGCGCTGATTGGAGACCTTTGGACTGGGAGGCTCGACTTAAAATTGTTGTGGGTGCAGCAAAGGGTATTGCCCACATCCACATACAAGATGGTGGGAAATTTGTGCATGGAAATATAAAATCGTCAAACATATTCCTAAACAGTCAAAAATACGGGCTTGTAGCGAATGCTGGATTGGCAAAACTGGTGGAGCCTATCAGAAGGCTAGTTGTGCGAAATTTAGGACAATTTGCCCCAGAAGTGAATGACACGAGCAACGTGTCACAAGCTTGCGATGTGTATAGTCTTGGGGTTTTGCTGCTTGAACTTGCCACGGGAAGGCCAGCCCAGCACACGAATGAAGAAGGTGATGTCGTCTCACTGGTTAGGTGGGTTCAATTGGTTGTTCTTGAAGAATGGAGTGACGAAGTGTTTGATGTGGAGATTCTTAGGTATAAAAATGTGGACGAGGCAATTGTACAGTTGCTGCAGATAGCGATGGAATGCGTTGCTTTTTCACCGGAAGGAAGGCCTAGGATGTTTGAAGTAGTGAAGGTGTTGGAAGAAATTAGCAATGGGATTAATAGAGGGGAGAAGGCATCCATTCAATCAAGATTGGAAGATGTAATGGAAGATTTATTGCCTCGGATACATCATGGTTTTTAACAATCTCTCTCTCTCTCACACACACACACACTTTGAATATATTGAAAGTAGTTGACGATTGATTGTACGAAGGACACGTGTCAAATACATTCATAATAAGGAAGCTTGTTTACTTCTTTGCTCATGTATTTCTTTCTTTTTTTAATTACGTACTACGAATTCAGAGTCATTAATTATTTCAAAGTAAACTCCGAGGACAAGAAAAAATTAACCTCAAGTATTAATCATGTTGAAAAAATTATTTGAACATAATGTATATATATTCATAGTAAGTAATTTTATAAAAAATCACATGTGGGACAATTTTGGTATCTTTATAAGTTTCAATGGGCATAGTTGGAACAATAGAATTCTGAACTTCGAAGGTTAGATCTATTGAATTTATTGTCAAAATTTTGAGGTTTAACGATTTCTTTTAATATTTTTTAAAATAATTAAAAGTCAAGTAATTTTAATACCAAAAAAAAAAATAGTAGTATTAGAAGAACAAGAAACACCGCACACAAATTTCAATCCTAAATCAACAAGGTAAGTACATATATTCGTTCTAGTAAATAAGGAAAATAAATAATTAAGGCGTGCCCAACATGGAAGTATTGTGACACATGCAAAATCCTACCATATATATATTTGCATATATGGTAAATTACCAATTAATAACTATTTTATTTCCTAATTAGTTCAGGTTTCTATCTCTGAATCATCTATATAAACACCTTCAACTTCTATCATAATAAATCACGAAAAAGAATAAAGAAGAGAGAAAAAAACTATAATCAATCACACCCCTGAAGGATTATTAATCCAACAATCATAAACACCATGACAAGAAATCCGAAGAACAAGGAGAGAAACACTAAAGCTGTTTCGAGTATGTTCGATAGCATTCCCCATGAATTGGTTTCCGAAGTTTTAAGCCGAGTTGTATCGTCTTCCATCAAGGACATCTTCAATGCCAAATTAAGGTGCGTTAATATAATTAACTTCAAGAAACATGTTCTTGCATGATTATGGTTTTACGACCGTTGATTTATTTTCGTTCGTTTCGTTTCTATTCCCTGTTTTTTTTTTTTAGATGTTTAAATTTTTTTTCGATCTCAACCAATTCTTTATAAACTGAAATTTTAAATCCAGATATTATGTGGGTTATCGAGTTTTCGATTATTAATTATCAATTGATATAATCGTGAGCGATGTGTGTTTGTGCATGTAATTATCATCTTCGATACCTTAGATAATTAAATTTTTTAAACATAATTTTTTTTTGGGCACAGCTGCAAGATGTTGAATGAAATCGCCGAAGATATGTACGTGTATCAACATGTATCGCTAGACGAGGTTCCAATCATACCATGGAAACCTATAAGCCAATAACAAGTAACGTTCTTGAATACGTGCCTACAATCCGAAAACCCCGAGTCGTTGTATAGACAAGCAGTTGTAAGTTTCTTGATTTCAAAAATTAATTACCAACGAACTTTATCGAATTAGTTAATTTAAATTAATCAAGATTTAATTAATTTTTCTTTTTTTTTAAATCTTTTTCAGCTCGACTACTTCAACAAAACGAATCTGGAATCAACGTGCATGCACTTACTGAAAGCGGTGAAAAACGGCCACAGAGGCGCTTTGTACGTAACATGCATTGTTATTCTCTTCAGTGGGGACGAAGAACTCAAGCAACAGGGCATCAAGTTATTGAGGAACATGAAAAAGACGAACGGATTGAACAGAATGCTTCGAATTTGCCGCAATAATTTGAATAGCATTCTGAAGATGATTTGGGTGAAGAACCCGGTTTTGCTGGAGCCGCCTGTTTGTTGTACGGCCCGAGATCAGCATCACAAGAAAAGGCGATGGTCTCAAGTAGAGGAAGATGTCACGTGCGAGGCATGTGTTGCTGATCAAGAGATTAATTTACTTAGTGGTAGATACAATTTTGATTAATTATTTGATTTATTAGCATTATTTGTCAAGTAGTTAGCGTTCATTGTTCCAATTGACGAATTCAAAACTTCAACTTTGTTATTTTCTCAATAACAATAAATTCACTTGAAAGCTATGTAATTCTTCCATTGCAGTCTATTTCCGATTTCCAGATGATTCTCATTGGAATTTTTTTTACTTTGAAATAATATTTTTTATTCCAATTTCTGTTTTTTCATTCGAAATTTTTCTACTTTGAAATAATATTTTTTATTCCAATTTCTGTTATTTCGATATTATTTAGATCGGAATCAAGGTGGTGGGAATATGTTTTACTGTTTAGGAATATGTTTGACGATTTTATATTTCCATGCACAAATTTTCCACCATCTTTATTCGCTACAAGCCCGTATTTTTTACTGTTTAGGAATATGTTTGACGATTTTCCACCATCTTTATGATTGTTGGATTAATAATCCTTCAGGCGTGTGATTGATTATAGTTTTTTTTTCTCTCTTCTTTCTTCTTTTTCGTGATTTATTATGATAGAAGTTGAAGGTGTTTATATAGATGATTCAGAGATAGAGACCTGAACTAATTAGGAAATAAAATAGTGATTAATTTGTAATTTACCATATATGCAAATATATATATGGTAGGATTTTGCATGTGTCACAATACTTCCATGTTGGGCACGCCTTAATTATTTATTTTCCTTATTTACTAGAACGAATATATGTACTTACCTTGTTGATTTAGGATTGAAATTTGTGTGCGGTGTTTCTTGTTCTTCTAATACTACTACTATTTTTTATTTTTATTTTTGTATTAAAATTACTTGACTTTTAATTATTTTAAAAAATAATAAAAGAAATCGTTAAACCTCAAAATTGTGACAATAAATTCAATAGATCTAACCTTCGAAGTTCAAAATTCTATTGTTCCAACTATGCCCATTGAAACTTATAAAGATACCAAAATTGTCCCACATGTGATTTTTTATAAAATTACTTACTATGAATATATATACATTATGTTCAAATAATTTTTTCAACATGATTAATACTTGAGGTTAACTTTTTCTTGTCCTCGGAGTTTACTTTGAAATAATTAATGACTCTGAATTTGTAGTACGTAATTAAAAAAAAAAAAAAGAAAAAAACAAAGATGTCGTATGGGGTGAAATAACACTTGACATAGTAAACACAAAATTTGATATCTGGCAAGTAAATACTTGTGGACCGGCTTCAGAGGTGAAATACTTATATAAACAGTATTACAAGAATACACGAGAAAAGAAGTAAACAAGCTTCCTTATTATGAATGTATTTGACACGTGTCCTTCGTACAATCAATCGTCAACTACTTTCAATATATTCAAAATGTGTGTGTGTGTGTGAGAGAGAGATTGTTAAAAACCCTGATGTATCCGAGGCAATAAATCTTCCATTACATCTTCCAATCTTGATTGAATGGATGCCTTCTCCCCTTTATTAATCCCAGTGCTAATTTCCTCCAACACCTTCACTACTTCAAACATCCTAGGCCTTCCTTCCGGTGAAAAAACAACGCATTCCATCGCTATCTGCAGCAACTGTACTATTGCCTCATCAACATTTTTATACCTCAGAATCTCCACATCAAACATTTCGTCACTCCATTCTTCACGAACAACCAATTGAACCCACCTAACCAGTGAGACGACATCACCTTCTTCATTCGTGTGCTGAGCTGGCCTTCCCGTGGCAAGTTCAAGCAGCAAAACCCCAAAACTATACACATCGCAAGCTTGTGACACGTTGCTCGTGTCATTCACTTCTGGGGCAAATTGTCCTAAATTTCGCACAACTGACCTTCTGATAGGCTCCACCAGTTTTGCCAATCCAGCATTCGCTACAAGCCCGTATTTTTTACTGTTTAGGAATACGTTTGACGATTTTATATTTCCATGCACAAATGAAATCAACAGATATTCAAAAAAGATAAATATTATCATTTGATTGAGAATTTTAACATATTCTTAACCTTGACATTCAAAAAAGATAAATATTATCATTTGATTGAGAATTGTAACATATTCTTAACCTTGACAGGGCCAAGTACAATCGACCATGTCTAAAAACAGTCATGGGAACAGTCATGGGAAGGTATGTTCCGACATGTGAGATAGTTTGAAAATTGGAATAAATTTCTAGATTCTCAAAATTTTAGAATTAGAATCGGAATCAGTTTTGTACTTCCGAAAAGAATAATTATTCTTTTTGAAAAGGTTAATTATGATCCATAACATCCGTCTTTCATCCCTAAGAGCATATGTTGTATCAACTACCAAATTAAAAAAAAAATTGCATTCAGACTATAATCTAAAATTACAATTTGAGTAAAAATTAGAACAAATCTCCAACCGTTGAGAGTAAATTACCAATCGAGGTAGACCATGTGGTTTCCTAAATGAGAATTTTCTTGAATCTGACGGCTCTCTTACTGAAAGGAGACTAAAGATCAAGAAACTGAATTTTTCATCGTCAAGTTAAGAAAACTCCACCTTTTGAAAGAAAACGACTTCCAAATGCGCCTCTGGTTGCCGTCGTTTTTGGTAACAAACTTCCCCCCCCTAAAATCCACACCAATGAATCAAAGAAGACCAAGCAGCCCTCTACATTTCTACCATTCTTCCATTTGAAACATTAGGCAAGAAGTGGAGTTGAGAACCGTTCCTATATATAATTCATAGAAACTATATAATTATGATTCACACAACACATAAACATACTACTCCGGTACTCCCTGAAAAGCAAACACCAATCCAACTTCAATATAAGTATCATTATTCAGCTAACGTATTGAAAAAGTAAAAAATATCAATCTATAAATACAATATACAAATACTGTGATGGCAAACACCAATCGAACTTCAATATCAAAACCAAAACACATTCTGATTAGTGTGTTATGAAGAGGAAACAAATTAAGTAAGGACTACCATAAACCAATATTTAGAGTTGTATCATATAAGCGACTATTACATACCTTACATTCATAAAATAGGTTTAAAATTATCAATGTCATAATACACACACACACAAAAAAAAAGGAAAAAAAAATAGGATCATGTCTATTCAGTTCTTCTCAAGTTTGGTATTCTTCACTACCTTAGTAGTCGACATTTGCGTAGCTCCACCATCTGACAAATTGCAGGAATCGTGGTATCATCATCACATATGAAACCTAAACACTGAATAGAAGTAATGTTAAGTTCATAAAAAAAATTGCATAAAAAAATACATATATTGATTTAAATACATATATTTGGAGATTTAACATAGAAACTCAACGCCAAATGATAGTAGCAGGAGAAAATAATGTTAAATGCATGGTTTGGAAATGACAAAAGAGGCATCACAATCACCAGGTTTGTGAAAAAAAAAAGAAAGAAACAAATGATGGATGCCCAACAAATACAATACAATTTGGAATCTTTTCGTAAACAAAAATTTCGTTAAAAAAACATGTTTTCCAAAAGCTTTAAATTGTTATTCTCTTTTAAACGAACACGAAGATGAGATCAAAGAATTGTGCGGACAATATTATAGAAATAAACATAGAAGTCAAGATTTTTTGCCTTTGAAATGTTTTTCTTGTTAAAATGAGAGAAAACTCAAACAGACTCACACAAATATGACCTCTCTACAAACCGGCCACGGAGGAAAAAAAAACACACACCCATAAGAGACCGAGAGAGATAAAAGAGAGACAAATACAGAGACAGTCAAAAATAAATTTAAATACATCAATGAAGTTAATGAAAACTGGATCAATGTACAATTTATAATAACTCAATTAACCCCTGCATTGAACGTTGTTTATCACCATCGCTAGTAAAATCGTAACATCACCACACAATCCATGAACCATTTATATATATATATATATATATATATATATATATATATATATATATATATATATATGTGATGCTGCTCCAAAATGGTGGGTCAGCCCAATGGTCTTGAAGCCCACTGGTCTCCTAAGTCCGGGAATCTTCAAGCCCAATATCGGGAATACCGGGGGTCCTTGCCACGTGTCCAAAGGGATCAAAGGTGTGGGTCCGCCGAATAACCTACAAAACAAATCAAGACACTAAGTGACTCGCCGGGGTGGCCCCGACGATTACACTCCGACGCTCAAGTCAGGTATTGGAAGTGATACTTTGCAAAGGCTAAAATATCACCTAAATTAGAGATACCTCAACAAATGAATCATACCTTGTCTTTATAGTAGGACTTGACTATTAGTTTCTTGTAAACTTTCAATATGGGACAAATGTAGAAGTGTGAAACTTCTTGTAGAGATTCAATGTGGGAGAAAATTATAGAAGTGGAGCTCTAATTGGACTTTTCCCTTAATTGGGCCTTTAATGGACCAATTGGGTTTAAGATCCAATTATACACATCATTAAGCCCCCCACTCCCAAATTGGGCCACGGTCCGTGGGCCGGCTTGGGAGTAGTAGAGAACGAGTTTGGAGTTGTTGCTCCGTGACCTGGAGAGTTGCGCTACGGCGGATGATCCGGAGGGGGGGGTGTCTTGGGTGTATTAGGACGAAATTTGTCCGTCTCTCGTACGCGCGCTTTGAGGAGTGGTGGCGCTACGAAAGTGAGTGGTGGTTGGGCGGTGGCGATGACGAAGTGGCCGCTTGGGTGCCCTCGGGAAGACTCTTAGTCGGGTCCGAGCTTGGGTGGCCGAGAGCCATCGGGTTCAACCTTGGTGGGTCGGGAGTCGTCGGGTCGAGAACCTCCGGGTCGCGAGGTAGTGGGCCGGAAGCCGTTGGGTCGAGGACCTCTGGGTCGCGGCGTAGTCGGCGGATCGGGGGATGCCGGGTGGGGAGCCGGCGGGCCTGGGGATGCCGGTTCGCGGGAGCCGACGGGGCGGGAGTTGCCGGTTCGGGAGGCGACGGGCCGGGAGCCGGCGGGTCGGGGGATGCCGGGCCAGGAACCGACGGGCCGGGAGCCGGCGGGTCGAAGGATGCCAGGTCGGGAGCCGGCGGGCCGGGGGATGCCGGGCCGGGAACCGACGGGCCGGGAGCCGGCGGGTCGGAGGATGCCGGGTCGGGAGCCGACGGGCCGGGAGCTGGCGGGTCGGAGGATGCCGGGTCGGGTTCCGGGTAAACGGGGTGACGGCTGGCCCGGGTTTGCGGCTTCGGCCGACATCAAACCGTATGAGCGAGCCGTCGGGTGATTGGGATGGACTTGGAAAAAATTCTCCTGTCTTTTGTACAACCCCGTCGGCGTTGGGTGTGGGTGATTTTGGAAAGACTTAGCCAAAATTCGCCCGTGTTTTGTACGGCTGCGTCGGCATTGGTAATGGAAGACGGGATAATGACTGAAACTAGAGGTGCGGCTAGAGTGATCGACTTGGATTCTAGTTTGGAAGATGACCCATGAGAAAAGATTTGGGGTGGAGAGCGTGGGTTGGTATTAATGGAGTGTTTAGACACCAACTCCTCTCCTATCTCTTTATCTCTACCTTTTTTTTTTTTTTTTTTTAAAAGATGCCGACGGCTAATTTGCCGGCCATTACGCCAATGGTCGATTTTCTTTCCGAAAATATCAATGGCAAGAAGCCTTTCTCTCGCAAATAATGAGTTATAATCTGTCTTTTTTTGGGTAAGACGATATCTCATGGTTATTGCATGGTGGGAAATGCACTTTTTGCGAAGAATGAGTTTAGCTTTATTTTTTAAGGCGATGCCGTATCCCTTGGCTTTTTGCCTATTGGGAAGTCCGACTCTCGCAAAGAATAAGCTAAGCTTTATCTTTTAAGACGATGTGGTATCCCTTAGATTTTTGCCTAGTGGGAAGTCCGACATTCGTTAAGGGTGAGCTATGCTTCATCTTTTTAAGAAAGGCGGTATCCCTTGGCTTAGCCTAGTGGGAAATGCACTTTTTGCGAAGAATGAGTTTAGCTTTATTTTTAAGGCGATGTCATATCCCTTGGCTTTTTGCCTATTGGGAGGTCCGACTCTCGCAAAGAATAAGCTAAGCTTTATCTTTTAAGGCGATGTGGTATCCCTTGGCTTTTTGCCTAGTGGGAAGTCCGACATTCGTAAAGGATGAGCTATGCTCTATCTTTTTAAGCAAGGCGGTATATCCCTTGGCTATAGCCTAGTGGGAAGTCCGTCTTTTTATTTTCTCTTGGTGTTTCAGGGAACGAAATTCCAATTTCGATATGTTATCACGTATGTAAATTGTAGTTTTACGGGTAGTGGGTTGAAAGGTAACGAAAGTGATCAGCAGATACATAAAAATAATGAGTAATTAGATAAAGGTTCGGCGGGAAGTATGCCCCTGATTAAAACATTCAATTATCATTGTAGCTGACAGTACATAATATATTGCGGTGACCGACATGCCCCCGGCTTGTTTTTGAAAGCTCTTAAGATCTTCAAGTTTTTTGCCCTTAGCGCCTATTCATGTGTTGTGGCGCTATCCTTTTGATGGCTATGCGGCGTGAGCGTTAGGTTAGGTGAGCGTTGGGCGCATTTCTTGTCTATCTCTCGTCTCAGGGTGCGTCTCCTCGTGCTTTCCCCTCGCGGGCAAACCCATCTCCGCAATCTCCTCAATGCGAATGTACTTCTCGGCCCGACCGATGAGCTCATCCAATGTCGAGGGGGGTCGGCCCGCAAGGGACTCTCGAAACCGTTCATGCCTCAAGTTGCTCATCAAGATCCCCGCCAAGAACTCGTGGTTTACGTGGCATACTTCATGCACCGCGCTAAAGAACGGTTGCATATAATCTCTGAGCGCCTCGTTTTCTTGCTGGACGACCTTGAAAAGGTAGGTTCCAGTCTTGGCGTACTTCTAGTTGATGGAATATTGGCTAAGTAATTGTTCCACTAACTGCGACCATCCGTCGATAGTCCCACCTGGCAATTTGTTGAACCAACCTAGCGCTGGGCAACTCATGGTAGTTTGAAAGATCTTGCAGTATGCCGCATCCGTGAGACCGTAAAGATCGACCTTGGCATAAAAGTTATTTATATGGTCTTGGGGATCTGCGGTTCCGTCGAACTGTGGAAGATCGGGGATTCGAAACCCGAAGGGCAGGGCTTCTTTTAGAATGGCCGGGGTAAATGGGCATACTCTTGTCGGAAGTGCTTTCACCAGGGCAAGGGACGCCGACTCTTTTGCCTTCGTCTGCCGGCTTCTTGCATCGTCGTCGTCAACCCTTGTGCGACGTCGACTTCTCTCCTTGTGCTGGGACATTCTGCTACTGTCTTCGCCCTGATCAGGGCCTCCACGGTGGATGGGATGGTGGCGTCTCTTTTCGCCTTTTTCCTCTCAACGCATACGCTCCTTTTGTCCCCTTGAGCGTGCTCTACGTTGATGGTCGCCCCTTTGAAGAGAGTAATCTACGGTGACATTAAATGGTGGCGACCAACGGCGATTGTTCCTTCGAGGCACTTGCTCCGGCAAAAGGCTAAGGTGAGGCGCCCGCCGTTGGACATTCCTAGCGGATGTTGAGGGAAAGTTTCGGTCTCCCATTGACACTCTTTCCTCCGAATGGTAAGGCTCCACGACAGGTGAGGCGGGGTGGTTTGGGTTAGGCTCCAACAGGTAATCGGTTACCGGGTTCGGGTCTTCTTCTGGGGCTACACCTTGGGTGACGAGGTAATGCGCCACTGCCGCCGCCGCTGCCTTCGTTGCCACTTGGTCCATCAAGGCTTCCAATTCTTCTGTCCTCATCTGTAAGACTGGCGGGGCCCCTCCTGGTCGGTTTGTAGTTCCCGTCGTCCGTGCCCTTCGGGGGGGATCCGGGATCTCGGGCCCTTCTTGGGGAGGGAGTCCATCCGTCCTTCGATCGCCTTCTTCCATGCCACGTGCTCTGGTACGCATTCCCACAGACGGCGCCAAAATGATGCTGCTCCAAAATGATGGGTCAGCCCAATGGTCTTGAAGCCCACTGGTCTCCTAAGTCCGGGAATCTTCAAGCCCAATATCGGGAATGCCGGGCGTCCTTGCCACGTGTCCAAAGGGATCAAAGGTGTGGGTCCGCCGAATAACCTACAAAACAAATCAAGACACTAAGTGACTCGCCGGGGCAGCCCCGGCGATTACACTCCGACGCTCAAGTCAGGTATTGGAAGTGATACTTTGCAAAGGCTAAAATATCACCTAAATTAAAGATACCTCAACAAATGAATCATACCTTGTCTTTATAGTAGGACTTGACTATTAGTTTCTTGTAAACTTTCAATGTGGGACAAGTGTAGAAGTGTGAAACTTCTTGTAGAGATTCAATGTGGGTGAAAATTATAGAAGTGGAGCTCTAATTGGACTTTTCCCTTAATTGGGCCTTTAATGGACCAGTTGGGTTTAAGATCCAATTATACACATCACACACAGATATATATATATATATATATATATATATATATGTATATGTATATGTGTGTATATATATACACATCTAGATCATCTACTTTACCTCTCGTGTGTATATATATACACATCTAGATCATCTACTTTACCTCTCGATGGTGATTTGTTGCGGCAATTCGCAAAACCAGCGAGGGTTGTTGAAGCAGCTGAGGGTTAGGCACCATCTTGTCTGTGGTCAGAAAAGGATGGAGTTATAATTACTTCATATGGCCATAAACTTGCTCGATTACTTGAGTGAATAGTAACTTAAGACAACAAATTAACATGTGATTAAAACAATTTTTCAAGATGACACAAATAGTAGAGGTTGGAAGTTGGACATCATAAAAATAAATCGGCAGGTGTGTGCAAAAGGATAGCAAAAACTGTTTCTTATATAACTGAAATTATGACAAAAAAAAGCATTTTGGGTGCACAAAAAGTATAAATTAGGAAGGTATTTCTACACACGTAAAATAGGTAGAGTTAGTAAAGCAATAAATAGATGCATGAATTCTACTTTTACGCATCTAGTCGATACAAGGAAAGTTATTCCTGTGCAATGTCAATCTAGTAATATTTGTAAATTCAATGACAAAGCTAATTCACCTCTATGTTCTAACAAAAAATTTAGTTCCTCAAATATGAGCACCCTTCAACATAGTTTTCCAAAAGAAAGAAAATGAACATTAAAAGCCATACAATAAAATGATTCAACGCAAATGTATACCTGTGGCCGTAGTATTTTTACTGTTGCTCTATGTATTTTAGAGCTTTAACTTTTGACCGGAATGGTAATTAGTGTAATTATATATCTTGTTACTCGCCAACAAGGTTTCAGTTGAGAAACTCAATCTGAATTCAATCAATGTACGAAATAACATCTGATTAGATGAAACCCTAAATTCCAAACCCATGTTGTGACTCCTATCATCACACATCAAGAATTAACAATCAAGTCAAAATTAAATGAATACATGTAAAATTCACGAACATACAGACATAGACATGAATAAAGTCCAGCTATTACAAAAGCAAACTAATTCCAACAGAAATAAAACAAGCACGCAGGAAGTAGAAAAAACGGGTCACAACTACATGCAGAGTTCAAGAGAAACAAAACACATTCCATTGTATACCATTGGATATAAAGAAAGAAAGAATTTATCAAAAAGAAAATAATGGCATACACGGTACACCTAGGGAAGGCCTCTTGCATGAGATGATAAAGGAATAAAGGAATAAAAAGATTTAAAGATAGAGAAAACCAATCAGAAAGCAAAACAAATACCAAATACAGCCTACTCCATAATTCCAAAAAAGCAAAAAGACCAAGGAAGTAAGAAAAATCGACGGCAACTAACTTTGTTCGAAACAAATTTAAAAGGACTTTTTTGCCTGGAAGAGAAAGTTTTAAGCTTTTCATTCAACGCAGAATGATAGAAGTCTTGCTTACTATTTAAGTTCTTGCATATAGTATACAATGTATTATATTCTCGTCATCAAATAATGGTCATCAAATCTAATGTTATGCCTCACGTAATTAGCCCACCTCAATCTGCATCCCCTCCACAAATTTTCAGACCTGATATATACGACCATCTCAATAAATGAGTAATAACACAAGACAACGTACATATACATATACACACCCAAATTAATCTAGTCAACTTCTCATTCTATTATGTTATATATTACTAACAATCATGTTAAATGTGGTGTTGCCATTTCGGATAGTAGGTGGGGCT